TCACAGACAAACTCTCCTTGATGTCTCTCCTTGACAACTTTGCTGATTACCAGTGTGTATGTGTCGTGATCTTTACAACACTTGAACTCTTTGCCAGATTTCACCAATTGGCCGTTGAAAAACCAGTTTATCTTTGTGACATACTTTATGGTTGTACTAAATGTAGCTTCACTACCTTCTTCTATGGATAGGTTTTGGAGGGAGCTGACTATGACAGGGTGTTCTCTCTGCTCTGGCCTGGACACAGTGATCTCCTCTTTGAACATCTCCTCCCGGTGCTGGATGCTGATGCCTACCATCTGTTCAGTGGGGATGGTGGTGGGAGGCAGGGCAGCAGAATCAATAACTGCTCCTACATCTTTATTTTGGCTTTTCATCGTTGCTGACGTCACTTCCTGTCTGGATACCTGCACCGACTGCTCAAAAGCCATGTGAGCCTCGGTGGAGACTGTGATCTGGGATGAGATGGTCTGTTCCATCTTTGCGGCCGTGGATTCCTGAACCACAACCTGCTGCTCTGCTGCAGCGCATTCAACTGCCATTTTGGACTCAGTCTTGAGTGCGGCAGCCTGAGACGGAACAGCAGTGAAATCTACTGTGCTCTCTGAAACGCTCACCGTCTCCACCACGGATGACAGCACTTGCTTGGATCGGGCCGATGTGACCTGAACCCTCTGAGGCTTATCCAGCTGCATGGTGCCCGGCTGCTCTGAAGTCAGAACCTGGGCCTCCTGGTACACGATGGAGTGGAAAGCTGCCTGGAGTTCAGTCCTGAGGTCAGCTGTCTGAGGGTATTTGCCCTCAAAAGCCAGCGTGATCTCCAGGGGGGCACCTGTTGTTGTGATCAGGTACGTAAATATGGCCCGCTTGGGTTCTTTTTGAACCTTGACCTCCTGCACTTCTACAGGCTGCAATCTTCCAACCACGTCAGCCAGGAGCACCGGCTGGTCGCTGGCCACGGCCGACTGTAGGGCGTCCTTGAGCTGACGCCGGATATTCAGACTCGATGGTTTTGGGATCTGAATCACGAACGTCATCTCTTTTGGAAGAGCTGTGCTGTCTTTGGATTCTGGAGCCATCAGAGACAGTTTGGGCTGAGTGCTGACGGTCACTTTGGTGGACTCAGACTTGGAGATTTCCTGAGAGAGCTCACCTGTCAGCACCTGCTTCTCGTCCATCACTATGGACTGTCTGACCGACTGACCCTCCTGGATCTGAACAGCAAAGTCCTGCTCAGCTGCCTCCAGAAGGACGCTGCTCTCAGTGGAAATCTCCTTCTCCTCGATCTGGATCGGCTCAGTAGGAACTTTAGGTTCTACAGCCGCCTGGCAGGTGAATCTGTCCACAGCTGTCAGACTTTGTGTGTGAGCCTCCTCTAAGGCCTGGCTCTCTGCCACGCTGGTGACATGCATGACATTCCAGCGATCCTCCTTTTGCACCAAAGCTCGCTGCTGTTTGACGTCAGCGGCGAGCGGCGTCTCTTTTGGCAGCTGCATGGGCTGGTAGGAGAGCTGGAGGATGTTCTGAGGCCTGGGTTCTGTTCGAAGGTGCGACTGAACTCCAGCCACAGACAAGTCCAGCTCAGAGTGGTAATCTGCTATGAGCTGCCTCCTCTCCTCAGAGCTGGCTGCGTGGCTCCTTGCCTTCTCTTGTTTCTGCACTGCCACCTGCTGGTCGGGCTTCTCGATTACGAGGATGCCCTCTTTGGGCAGCACCTCCAGCGGCTGCGTCGACTGGAGGTGCAGCAGAGCGGCGGCCTCTTTCTGCGGCTCTACGGTCGTGGTGCTCGCCTTGGCCTCGAATTCTGATGTGTCCTCACACACCACAGTCCTCTGCTCGTCCTGGCTGACGGTGTGCAGCAGAGTGGGACTCTTCCGGGTTCCTGCCTGCTCTGCTGCTGGTTTCTCACAGGTGAAGCTCTTCTCAGATGGAAGGAGGTCCTGGTCTGTGATCACCTGCAGATGCAACACCTGCTCTCCTTCTACCTGTGACTGAATGGACACGGCGCTGTCCAGACTGGGCAGCTGCTGCGTGGACTCGGCCTGCAGCGTTTGCTTCTCCTCAGCCGTCAGAGCTGCTTTCATCGCTCTGTCCTGACAGAGACGAGCTGCTTCCTCAGCAGGTCTCTGCACGGAGAGCTTTGTCTCCTTAGAAAGGGTCTGCTTAGACTCGCTGACCGAGGCCATCACGGGTCGAGGCTCCTCCTTCTTCATGTCAGACCTCACAGCAGACTCTGCTGTTGCCAGTGCGGTTGTGTGTCCTTCTGTCAGCACCTGTTTCTCTGCAGACTGAGCCGAGTACAGGATCTTAACACCCTCTTTCACCTGGTAGCCCTTCTCCTGCTGTGCTTTGGGAACATCCTGCGAGTGCTCTTTCAGGATGGACAGCTGTGACTCCACCTGGTGCCCACTGACCAGATGCTTTGGTTCGGACGTTGGTCTGATGGCAGCAGACCTTCTGTCAGCTAGCGGTTCTGTGCTGACAGTACACAGAGGGGTGAGCTCCTCAGCAACAGCCGACATCACCTGGGACCCTTTTTCTCGAGCCGCCTGCAGCTCGAGGACCTCCGGGCTCTGGATGCGGTCGCAGTGCTGCTCAGTGAGGTCCTGACTCTCCTCCACAGAGGAGGTGAAGGCGGCCATGTGCAGCTGCTTGCCAGGAACAGCTGAGACCTGAGGGGGGTGAGTAGGAACCACGGAGACCCTCTCCTCCACCTCGTGGGCCTGGAGCACCGCCGCCCGCTGGGGCAGCTGCTCGCGGTGAACCGTGGCAGCAGAGATGTCCACCTCTGTCAGGGAGCCCACCTGCTCGCTGGGGATGACCTGCCGGTCCTCAGTACCGATGGTGTAGACCATCTGATCGGGCCGGTCCTGACCCGGCAAGCTGACCTGGTACAACCGAGACTCTGTCGCCTGCTCGCTCACTGAAACCTTGTAGCCCTTCTTCTGGACCACAGTCGTCTGCTCCTGCCTGCCAGAAACTGAGAAGGATTCTCTGAACACCACGAGCTCGGCGCTGCAGGTCGCCTCCCCAAACTGGTTGGAGGCTTTACAGGAGTACAAGCCGCTGTCCTCCTGCTTCACACTCTTCATGCTAATGAAGCCCGACCCGTCTGGGCTGGCTGTAATGATGCAGTTTCTGCTGGGCTGGATCTGAAAGGCCCCCTTATACCACTTCACAGCAGGAACTGGGTCCCCGTCGGCTTTGTAATGGAAGGAAACCTCTCCTCCCTCCGAGCATCTCACAGGCTGAATCTGAGCGGTGAACGTCGGAGGCTGACCTGAGACCTTAAACATCTTCTCCACCCATTTCTCTGCCTGGCTCACTTCAGGCTTCTTCACCTCCAGGTACGTGGTACAGGTCGTCTGGCCAAACCTGTTGGCAGCGGTGCACGAATACTCGCCCTCGTACTCGGAGGTGACCTGAGTGATGACCAGAGTGAACTCCTGCTTCTCCTCCAGCAGCCTGTACGCTGACGAGCTCTTTATCAGCTTCCCATTGTGAGACCACTGAACCGTGGGCTTCGGAAGTCCCGACACCCTGACGGTGAACCGAGCTGTTTCCCCGCTGATTACAGCTGCAGGAGAAAGCTGGCTCAGGAAAACTGGCTTTTCTTTTTTCTTCTCTAATGTGGAAGAATAGCGTTTGGCCTCCGGCTTGAGTTCAAGTGTTTTCGTTTTCTGTGGTAACTGGACACCAGAGCAGTAGGTTTCCTCTTGTTCCTCCACAGTGGTGATGGTGGTGCTACAACTCTCTGTCGGGAAATATTGAGCAAGACTGGTAACAATATCCAGAATAAACAAGCTCTGATATTAACAGGCAGACATTAGAGCCGTCCTTTACTACAGAACCTCTCAGGCCACTGATAGGATTAGTTCTGATCAATCAATAAGCTGATCAGCTTTGCACGGTGCAGGTGGCTGTTGACAGCAAAAAGTAAAACGGAAGCTTTGATTTTAATGTAGAAACACCTGAATGTGCGTCAGCTGACTGAGCGCCTGAGAGGAGAAGTGGTTGTACACACAGGTTCTGTTCACATGGACAGTAATGAATGTGAACCAGTTTGTAAAACCAACTTCTGCCAAGAGAAACAACCACACACTAAAAAAACCTGATTATTTGATTGATTTACTGATATTTTATTTCCCAGCGTCTATGTTGAAAATGAAGACGTGTGTTTTCCGTTTCAGTCTCTTAAAGAACAACATCGGAACCTCATACAGAAGAAAACAAATACTGATCACATCTGTTTGTTATTAAAAATTACCAAAAACTTTTTTTAAAGAGTTTTTTGTTTTTTGTTTTTAGTACCAGTCCCCAAATGAGGCAACATTTAAAAAAAAAAAGAAGTCGTGTTCACACAGACTTTACAAAGAAGTTCCTACTTGCTGGCGAAGCAGAGCTACACAATGAAATATTAGCAAAAGGAAGACAAACGGTGACAAAACAAAACCCAGCTGTTGATTCTTTGTGCTTCAGTCTCTGCTTCAAGCGCAAACAAACTATGAAGCTAAAAACATGAAATAATCTTTTGAATCTCAAATCGAAGTGAATAAATTCTTCAAACATGCATCTTTATCAAACATCATTTCATATATTTGAAATTTCTTGATTAAAGTTACTGAAAACTGCAATTATGTGATCTTATCAGGCCCAAACAGTAAAAGGCTACCGTTTGGTACTGACCCAAAATCAAGGAATGTATTTCAACTGGAACCACAAAGTTCTACAGAAGTGGCATGACCGACCTGCGTCACATGTCCGCTGCTTTCTTTTTACTAAAAACGTCTGTTTTGACAAAATGCACGTCAGCGGTTCTTGTTGCAAATTTCTTGATCATGAATCACTAAAACTGGATTTTTTTTGCATCTTGGCTCAGAAAAATGTTCCTGTTTGGTTCCGAAAAACAGCTGAAATATACAACGGGACCCAACAAGTCCAGGAACAACAGAGGCAGCGTTTAGCTGTGGTTGTCTTTAAATGTGCACTTTGATAAATGAACCCAAATGAAACGCTCAGACACGAACTTCCTGTCATCAGATGTTTTATTATATAAACTCAACCAACATGACGTCTGTACAAATAAACCACAAGTCTCTATAATCCCAGATGGTCTGAATTGGCTGATTTAAATGCTACTGATTCACCCCTAAAATTACACATATTTACAAGACATCCAAACTCAGAATTTCATCTTTAAAAAAGTTTCACAGTATTATCCATTTTCAAAATTAGTTATCTATCAAGTTCTACCTTATAATCCCACAAATAACATTGACAAGCAGCAAACGTCACACAAAAATCACAATAAAACCCAACAGAACTTCTGAGTCACCCAAAACAACTGAATAGTTTCAAGTAAGCAGAAAGACTGAAAGGTGAGACTGATCTGAGAATAAATAAGGGATTAAAATGCGTGCCGTGGCTGCTGATGCTGATTCAGGAAACTAAAGGTGTTTGAGTCATTTTCAGATTTCAGCTGATGAAACAACACATTTTAAACCAAGTGATGTGATCGCAGCACTCTGCTCATTTACGATCATTTATCAGCAGCTTCTGGCTCATTTATTGAGGCCTGATCATTTTTCAAAACAAACTCTGCAGCTTCACACAAAAAACATTCTACTTGAACAAAGTTCAAACTGAAATAATGGCTGATGTGTATTTCTCTGAATGTGCTGTGTTTGCTTCACACGCACTCCTCCTTCTAACCGCCTACCACATAATAAATTAAGGTTAAATAAAACCGACTACCACATAATAAATTAAGGTTAAATAAAACCGACTACCAGACGTTAACATTCAGCAGCAAGTGTTGCCAGAAAACAAAAGCAAATAGATTTTTCTACCAAAACTTCAATAAAACTGACAAGAAACATCATAACACTGACTGTTTTTTTCTTTTTTCTATATATATATAATTCTTTCTTGTAGCTGCTATAACAAACATTTACATGCAGTGTTTCCACCGACATGGCAGCAGGCTGCTCGCACAAAGACAACTCAGCGTTTTCTACTCTTTTGTGGCGCCTTGGGAACAAACTGCAGACAAACACTAGTTTCTAACTGATCGACCTGGAAGCTGTGTTTAGCTGAATTTATGTTTTTTCTTGCTCATCGGTTCATTAACGAGGCAGCTTGGCCGCTGTATGGTCTTTGTTTTTGGTGAAACAGTTAATTAAGGATCTTGTTTCAGACCATAATAAAGTGAACAGAATAAACAGTTTTCTGTCCGTTTGGGACAAACGGTCAACAAACAGTCAGAACTTTATCAAAGACCTGCTGAAGTGCAGTCTTTGAAAAACTACTGTTCAGGCAAATTCATGAGCTCGTGTCTGTTACAGCAACGAGAGTCAATCCGGCTGCCTTCACATGTGATCAGCAGTGCCCACGACTGGTTCATACGCTGCTGTGCACAAACTGGCCAGTGGCAGAATGCTTTCTCTGCTACTTGATGACTGTCTGGCATAATGAATACAGCATTTACAGTCATTTTTGCTGTGACTGGATTCTTTTTTTAGAGAGAAGGGGAGGCATTTGAGTAAGATACCGACTTATTAATGTGAACAAGAACTGCACTGTGAGGACAAACAGCAGACACAAACAGCTACAAGCAGTGAGTTCATCTTTGTGCAACCAGCCCCAGAAGTTCACCTCTAAAACACTTTGAGCAGCGCTGTGGTTTCAATGCAGCCGGATGTGTTCTGAATCACACACTTGTACTCTCCAGCATCACTTTGGGTCACGTTAGTAATGAGCAGGTTGAAGTGTCCTGCAGTTTTCTCCTGGATTATACACCTGCTGTCTGTGACGCACTCTCCATCTTTGAACCACTCGGCGGTAGGGTTTGGTTTTCCGTTAACCAGACACTGAAGAATAACGGGAGTCCCTACGGCCGCCGTGACGTTAGTTAGCGGGATGACGCACTTTGGGGGCGTTTCGGTCACCTGAAACTGGAAGCTGCACATCTCAGACGACTTCCCTTTGAACTCTACCTTGTCATCTTTTGCTGGCTCAGCAAATACATCAAAGTTGATGCTGACGTACTTCTCTCCCTGTTCGCTGGTTTCTTTGTCTGTGTTTGCAACCAACCGGACCGCTCGCTGCGACTCATCGGCCTCCTGCTCAAACTCAAACTCAAGCTCAATCTCGGACACCTGCTCGCCATCAAACGACGTGTTGCCAACCATCAAGTCGAATTTCTGCGGCTGGACTTTGGCGCTGCCGAGCGACACGGCGGTCAGCTCCCTGCCTCGGGTCTTACCTGAGAAAGCCTTGGCGTTTAACACCACCAGACAGGCCCGACACAGAGTCTCCCCAACAACATTAATAGCCCTGCAGGTATACACTCCGCTATCCTGTGTGCCCACTTTACAGATCTTCAGAAAGTGGTTGTCTCCATCAGAAGAGTGCACGTATTTTTTGTTATTGTGAGGAATCTTTTTGTCACCTTTGAACCACGACACGATGGGAGATGGGATTCCCATCAGCGAGCACTCAAACATTATGGTGGTACCTTCGGGGGTCTCCATGTCGCAGATGGGATTGATGAACCTCGGAGGCATCTCAGTGACCTCGAAAGCTATTTTCAAATCATCGTGCTCCTGGGTTACAAAGTCCACAGCGCCCTCCTCATAAATACTCGGTAACACGTCCAGAGAGATGATCATGCTCTTGTTGTCGGCCGTGTACTCAGGAATGGTGATGATCTTAACCTGCTTCTCAAATTCTTTCACCTCGTTTTCATCCAGTTCCACTTCAAGCAGAATCTCCTGAGGGGACGGAGAACGAGAGGAATCGTCTTCCTCCACATCGAACTCCATCACGTGCTGATGTGTGACGGCAGGTGGAGCAGGCATGAACCTCACCTCCTGCGACACAACCACCACTAAAGCGACGCTCCTGGCTTCTCCGACATAGTTCACAGCCTCACAGATGTATTCTCCCTGGTCGGCTTTGGTGACGTTGTGAATGGTTAGAGAGATACTGTCACCATCTCTCTCCATTGTAACTCTGTTGTCTTCAACCAGTTGGGTTTTGTTGCAGAACCACCTCACCTCAGGGGAAGGCAGGCCAAACACTTCAGCGTAAAATGTCAGCGAATCATTTTCAAACACTCTTTTCTTGATGAGAGGTTTGAGAAAGGCCGGAGGAATTCCCTGCACTTTCTCCTGAAGGGTAGCCAGTCCTAAAGAACCTCTGCTTTGGGTAAGGAATCGATTTTCATCTACATTCATTCCAGACATTTCAATGCCCTCATCAGCCGGAGAGGTCAGGAACTGAACCGGTGAAAAGAATCTCTCGCTGGAATCTCCTGTGGAGGGTCTCTTATGTTCCACAGGAGAGAAGGGATATTCCTGAGGGGTCATAAACCCACCACGTTCATCAGAACTGGGCGTATGGAAGGACATGGGAGACTTCGTGTGGAAGGACTCTGCGATTGGCTGCGAGACCTCAGTAGATGAACCTGGAGTGTAGAACCGTTCAGCCACCTCAACGATCTCCTCACTGACCGTGCTGCCGATCTCTATGGACATTTCAGACTCGGGGGACAGTGGTCTCCCCCAGTCGGTCGGAGGGTTGTAGTAGTCGTACACGGCACCAAAAGTGACCTCCTCTTCCTCCATGGAGCCAGCTGCTGAAGGACGACCAAGTGGTTTCCCTCTGGTGTCTGCTTTAGGTTTGACAATAAACTGTTCGTGTTCCGCTTTCATGTGGATGTCAGGCCTCTCAACTGCACCCTCAATTTGTGTTTGAGGCTCAATCGAAACACTGTCCACTGTTTTTTCTGGTACTTCTGCTACCTCAGCCTGGGAGTCTGGCATGCTAACAAATACGCCGCTGTCCATGGACGGATCTGTGATTGAAGCCAGCTCCTTGTGGACATAGCCTGCCTCTGGCATTAGAGCATAGTCCTCTAATCCTTCAGCCTCTTGTTTGTCCTCGGGAGAGCACAAGACTTCCATACTGGCATCTTCTGCCTCACTGTGGACAGGCATAGACCTCGCAGCTGGACTTTCAGATTCAGAATTTCGATTTGGCTTTACTGCTTCTTCAGCTGGAGCTGAAGGTCTGACCAAGCGTTTTCGTGCAGGGACCTTCTCAGACTGGAAAGGAATGAAGCTGCTTGTTCTGTCAAATGTTCGCACCGTCTCCTCACTCAACATCTCCACCTGTTCAGGGAAACCAGCAGGTTTCTGTGGCTTAGGCCTCACCAGCTCTGCAGACTCTGGTACTTCCTCTACAAACTGTTTAACTGCAACGTGGCTTTCTGCTAGAACAGCTTCTTCGTCAACCGCAAAGGGCTCTGGTGCTACAGGAGTTGGAGGGGCTTCAGCAGAACCTGGATTTATTATCGAAGCAGTGCCGAGTCCTTCACCACGTTCTGCTTGGATGGTGTCAGGTTCAGGTGCAATGAGGTCCTGCTGGTCGGTGGCCACAGCAGGTATAAACTCCTCAGGGAACAGCGTCTCCTTTTTCTGCTCCTCAGGAGACGGAGGCGTCATTAATGCAGCAGGTGAGTCCGACTCGAATGCCTGCTTAATTTGAGACACCTTTATCACAGCAGCAGAAGCCTGCAGGCCACAGCCGGATATCGCTGGAGGTTCTCTTGAGGCAGCAGGTCTGGGTCTGGGCGCTGGATGAGGTTTATCTTTTGTCTCCTCAGTTAAACCAACAGGAGACATCCTCTTTCTCCCAGACGGAGTAAAACCATCGTCTTCTGAAAACGGCACAGGTTCTGCAGCTTGAAATGACACATCAGAGATGCTGCTAACCTCCCCCACCTTATTTCTAGCAACACACCTGTACACTCCAGCATCAGCGTATGTAAAGCTGCTGATATGCAGCCTGTAGACTTTATCTTCCACTTCAGCTCTGTATTTCCCAGCTGTGGTTTCAAGGCAAACATTGTTGTACCACCATGTGGCGTCTGGTGCAGGTTCGCCGCTGATGACACACTCCAACACAGCAGTGTTGCCCTCAGAGCAGGAGATGTTCTCCAACTCAGTGACCACACGAGGAGCTTCAGCAACCACATCAAAGGAGAAAGTAAATTTGTGTTTGACAGTCTGAGAGGCTCCCTCATCGCTCAGCACGTCCGAGGTGTTCTCTGAGAACTGGGCTTTGTCCTCACTGAGCTCCTCTGTCATCTCAGGTACAGGAGTGGCTGCCGTGATTCTGATTTCTACAGGTGAGGCACTGAAAGATTCGTCTGAGCTTCGGTGTTTGTGGATCACTGCCTGAGGCACCTGCAGTGTGGCCTTTCCTGACTCCATGTACGTCTGAAGTTCCTCCTCTATCATGTTCTCCTGACCTTTCTCCAGCTCTGCTGTAACCACCACTTCTCGAGCAACCCCCGACCTTCTTGACACCTTTTTGTCAGAGATGGTGAGCGTGGCGCTGCAGATGGACTTCCCATGTTTGTTGGTGATGACGCAGTCGTATGTGCCCTCATGGTCTGTTGTTGGGTAGAACACGGTGAGCTTGGAGGTGTTGGCTTTGCTGATGATATCGTAATCGGGGTTGTGGGCCAGCGGGTGGCCATCTTTGAGCCAGCTGACCATGGGCAGCGGGTCGCCCTGGAACTGACAGGAGAAATCTGACATCTCGCCAATTTTTACGTTAACTGAAGATATTTCTTTCACAAACACTGGGCGCGAGCCTCCAGCTCCTGTATCTCTCTCTCTTACCCTCGTAGACTCTGGAGTTTGGTCGTCTTCCTCTTGAACTCTCTGGTGCTCCTTCTTTATAGTTCTTTGTTCAAAGCTTTCTGCGCTCATCTCACCACCCTGTTTAATCGACTCTTTGCTTCTTTCATCCCTCCTAATACCTACAAAACCCTTCTGTTGTCTGCTGCTCTCTCTGGTCGTCCTGACCTCCTCCCTCATTCCTCTCCCTTCTCTGACCTCCGACTGGAAGCGCTGGCTGCTGGATTTATCGACAGTCATGGCCAAATCCTCCTGATGCTGGAGGTGTTGGGCATCACTGACCTGGATTGGAGAGTATCTCGGTGAAGTCTGACGTCCCATTTTACCCTCATGATGCAGTAATCCAGCCTCTGCAGGAGAACACCTGGTTATGGACTCATGAGGAGGCATCTGCTGGTACTCTGCAGCTTGTTGAAGAGATGGAGGTGCTTTAGCAGGAAGGATTCCACCAGCAGCTGCTGTATGTGGAGGTGGAAGATCACTTGGGTAGGTTTCACTGTCAAACGGTAGCCCAGAGCCCGGCGGTTTGTCCAGAGTCCACTCAGACTCCAGCTCCCCTACCTCTTCTTGTTGCCATTTCAGGATCCGCTGAGCCAGTGCTTCTTCCTCACTGACAAAGTACTCGCTGTCCCTCTGCAGTCTGGTCTCACGGCCTTCAGCCGAGAGTTCACCTGCCGACGGCCACTGCAGCCCATCAGCCTCCTGATCCTGGAAACCAGCCGGAGCAGAGTCGCTCGAACGTAACTTGTCTTCGGCTGTTTTTCCGGAGGTCTTCCTGCTGTGAAGCACCTCAGGTTGCGGAAACGCCTCTGCATCAGAAGCCTCTGTGGTCTTCTCT